GTTAAAAAAATTATAATAATTAAACAAAAATTAAAATGCCCCCGCTTCCCCAAGCTCAGGCGCAAAGGCGAACGCAAGCGTCGGTCCCACACATGTGAGTTATCACCGCGATCGTAAGATCATGGGCAGTAATTCTAGCACCAGACCTCTGTAAATCTAAAGTGGTGACCTGTAAAGGCTTTTGACCTAGGATTAGTAAGAGTTACTCAGTTTGTTGCCATTGCACGGGCGTGCACAATTTAAAAGCATGACATGTTTGGTATCTATTTACCCGGCATAACATCATCTTTTACAAAAATTTGGTTATGTATTGTGGGTTTTTTTTTTAAAATTCGAAAAAGTGTTTTTTTTTTCCCAAAAATTGCATTTCAAAAACCATTAACTGTGAAAATACCATGTGACATTAAAAAAATGCAAAAACCACCACTTTTTTCTCTAGGGCCTCTGTTTTAAAAAATCTATAATGTTTGGGGGGTTTTCTAGTAAAAAATACTGATTGTAAAATGTAAACAGAAAGTGCCAGAAATGGCTTGGAGCTATTGCTTTAAAGGCATCTTCCAAGCATGTAGTTTGAAGAACTGGTGTTCTTCCTATTTCCTCTTCCAGGTAATAGCAGGAAATTGAAGTGATAATGGCACAGGGTCAGGAAATCTGCACAACCAAACAATGGAAAAACATTACATTGTTTAATTTCAGTTTCTGCTCTCACATACAAATGGATGTGCCAGAATTTGGATTTTCTGAACTGATTTGGAATAGACAGTCCATGGCAAAAATGTATGGCTTACAAAACTGCAAAATTCATATGATGCTGTCAAGAAAGCATTGACCAAAATCCCTGAAGATAGCTTCCAACACTTTGCCGATTATTTACTCCATAATCAGGAACATACAAAACTGTATTGACTGAGCAGTCCATATAATTCCTATCTTATTGATGGGTCATTGGGTCTGGATTGGAGGAGGGAAAGTAGGGAAAAAGGATCAGGTCTAAGGGAAAGAGAGATAGGTTGAGGGACCCTTGTCTACCCAAGCCTATGGTCCATATAGTATACCATCAGTTCCGGAAGGAAATGTGAAAACCAAGGGTATCAAACTACTGAGTATTTTTGCATTGTATCGGATACCCTGGCCTCTACTTTTTCATGTAGTATACTCAACATGCTTCTGGATTTAGTTTTGGCTGTAGAAAAGAGTGGAGGTTTTCCATGCTTTACCAAATTTCTGCTTAGCATCACTAAGGACATGGATCATGAATTTCAACTGAACATTTTTCAATTGAGTACATTTTTAGAAGACCAAGGGGTTATATACAAAGAAGGTCTTATTCCCTTATAAGGGAGACCGCCTGGCATAACAATGTAGTCAGAAATGATAAAATAGTGGTCCAAAATTGCTGGGCCATCAGGCATGACCACCGTATATGATAGAAGATTCCGCATTGTCCATTGGGGAAAGTGTCCAGCTGTCCTATGGTGGGTGAGCCTTCATCTCCTTCACTGAGGAGAGCTTGGTGGATATCGGAATGAGGCAACCCATGATTCTGTGGCTGTGTGTGAGTAAATGATCCAAGTGCTGGGAAGTCAGTTATTGTGTTTAGCTTCTGGTCTCTGGGAGAAGTAATAGTCACCGTCAACATAGAGATTCTGTGGGACATTGGGACATTTTTTGTACAGTTCCGCAAGGTAGTTAAGAAGTCCTCAAATTGTTCACTTCACCAGTTTTTGGGGCATCTCATGCTCCCCTCACCTCATCCAAGTTCAATATTCCAATAAAACCCTAAAAAGAGACCCCTAAAGCTGTTCTTCAAGCCAGTGGAAGAGTGAAGAAAATGCTGTGTGCATGGCTCTGTGTGCTTTAAATGGAGGAATGGAACTAAATTTACCAGCAGCTCTTTAGGGGGTGCGCTACATATAGTAGAGGAGGAAAGTGAGGGAGAGGAACAACATTAGTGAAGCAGGATGTCATCTTGGTGCAGCTCACAGAGGGATGGAGGGGGTATTTGTCTATTCCATTGAATGGTACTGCTCCTCCGGGACATGCCAGTAATATCCTTGGGTCTGATACACAGAGCTCAACAGCTTGGGCTACCCTGAAACAGCAAATCTGGGGCATCAGTCATGGCACCAGCATAGCTGGTATATAGGCATGGATTAAGGGGTAAAGAAGCTGCATACTCAGGATGTTGGCAGGTGCAGTCTATATTCTCCACTGAAGTGAGTGCTCAATCCAGCGGCATTGCATAAGGAGAGGAAGTCAAGAGGAGCCAAGCTCCTCTATGGTTTCCTGGGTCACTGGAGAAGCAATTCAGTTCGATGTTGTCACCCCATGTGACTCTGGCATCCATCTTGGGACAGGCAGAGTCTACTTAGGACTTGGTGTACATTTTGCAAGTGGTTAGTGTAGGGACAGGTCACCCGTCTGTCAGGGAAAGTGAACAGTGATAGGGAAAGGTTGCAGATGAATAAGGACAGGCTGTGTCAGGAATGGACTTGCCAATAATGGTGGGACTCACCTGCCTTGTGGGCTGCAGTACCAGGGCTGGCTAGCGGGTGCTCTCAGCAATCAGAGACTCAACCCTGCAGTCAGCCAAGACACCTGAGGCTGATTACAGGTGTTTTTAAGGGATGGCCAGACCTGCAGTCTGTGCCTTGGTGTGTGTTTTTCTATGGGCCCCTGTATCTTGTTACCTGCATCCCTGTTCCTGTTCCTGTCTGACTGATTCGTTGCTGACCCTGCCTGATCCGGACCTCTGCTGACTTCTCCTGTTTGATCCCTGGCTTGTGACCCCAACCATTCTCTGCCTGACCCGCTGTACCTACCTGCCCGTTAGTTGCTGTACCCGGCTCGTGACCTGACTACTCTCTGCCTGCTACTCCTGTTCCTACCTGCCCGATTGTTATTGACCCGGCCTGCCTGACTCGCTTGCATTGTATGTATTGTTATCTGTGGGTGGTTTGGTTTGGTTTGTTTGCACTGTATTATGTTTTAGTATTGCACTGCGTTTATGTATTGTTAGTGTTAATAAATTATATTGTTTATAACATATCTGAAGCCTGCGTTTCCCTGCGTCAGTTCACATACCTCTGGTCATACTCTGGAGCCCTGACAGGCTGGGGACAAGCAATCCTTCTGGAATCCTCCCGATTGGGCGCAGACCAGTCAGGGCACATTCCATCCTCTAGGACAGATGCTGTTGGCGTATCCAAGACCCACTCTGTTCTACACTGCCATTACAACCTGTAAGTGTTCCTGGTCGGCCATCTTCCACCCAGGCTGTATGTAAAGTAGAACTCTGACATTAATATAAGTTCTGTTTACTACAAACCGGAATCTGTGTAATTACAGCTGCCGCACCGCACTGCACCTCTGCACAAGTCAGCTGTTAAATCAGTTTCTGAACGTGCATAAAAAAACTAAGGGGGAGGATTTACTAAAGGCAAATAGATTGTGCACTCTGCCAAAGTGCAGTTGTTCCAGAGCTTATTAAATGAGGTAAAGCACTGCTGACTTCTTCCATCATCCAATCATATACAAAGCAAGAATGCTTTATTTTTCCTTGCATGGGAGTGGGTATTGTTTGTAAAGTGAAGCTTCTTCTCATTTACTAAGTTCTGGAGCAACCGCACTTGTAAAATACACAGTCTATTTGTCTGTATTAAATCAAGCCCCATGAGTTTCATATCACTTAAATGCATCTCCCAAGCATGTAATTTGAAAAAATGGCAGAATTTCATCTGCTAGCAAGAATGGGAAATTGAGGTGATAATGGGACAGGATCAGGAAATCTGCACATCAGTGTCAGAATCTGAATCTTTTGGAACTGCAGTGGATTCGATGGTTCATGGCAAAAATGTATGTCTGACAGAGCAGTAAAAGCCGCAAAATGCTCTAAAGAAAGCATGGAATAAATTCCTGAAGACGCCTTGCTGAATCCATGTTACAATATATTGACTGTGATAAAATGGATTAGCTAAAGTAACTGCTGGAAAATGATTTAATGAAAATCACGTTCCTCTTTCTTTTTGTGGTTCAATATATTTTATTGCATTGACAAAGTCTGTTACAATCATTCAGTAATGAAGAAGTTACAAGAGAATTGTAATCACACTTCCCTAGGTGGATGTGTAGCATCGGTCTGATGCTGTGAGAACTCAGCGATCGCATGACCACTGATCACTCCCGCTGTGAGCAGAGACTGTCAACACTGTCTGCTCCCTCCACTGGAGTGCTGGGCTGTGGAGGGGGAGGGAGCGACTGGCTCAGGCGCTCAGTGGATCACTGAGAGGCTGAGCCAGGTACCGCTCCGGTCTATGGGGTGATCTTTCCCCAGCCTTGACATCTGCCAACAGAAGGCATCAGCCCGCTGTCAGTTGAAAATGGGTCACAGGCAGGGGTGGACTGACCATTTGGAGACTCGGTCACTGCCCAAGGGCCCAGGTCAGTAGGGGGCCCTATGAGATGCCCCTGGTACCTTTTTCATAGGCTTTTTTGAGTTTGGGCAAGGACATAGGGGCCTCATGAACCCCTATTGCCCGGGGGCCCCATGAATTGTCAGTCCGCCCCTGGTCATAGGAGTGCAGAATGAACTGCACTCCTGTGATCCACAGGAGAAGTACAGCCAAATGAGCTTTGGCTGTATTTCTCCATTAACAATAGGCACATAAACATATTCAGAAGACATAAAGGATTACATAGTTACATAGTTAGTTGGCTGAAAAAAAAAACACAAAAGTCCATCCAGTTCAAGCATAAAAAAAAAAGGTTACAATCCTTAGGATTAGTCAAACATTTGTGAAAATGATAATGAAAGATATTTGAAAACAATATTGCAAACATTTACAGTATAATCAGGAACATTCAGAAGCGTGTTGACTTTCTTTTTATACTTCTTATAGCCTTCAAAATATCTTTGTTCCTCAAAGAGTAGACAAATGGGTTGAGCATTGGGACCACAACCGTGTAAAGCAAGGCCAGCAACTTGTCCAGCTCCTTAGAACCTTCAGACTCTGGTTTGCCGTAAATACAATGGCTGGACCATAGAATAATATTACCGTGGTGAGGTGGGAGGTGCAACTGGAATAAGCTTTCAGTCGTCCCTCCGAGGAATTAATTTTCAGTATGGTGGAGATGATGAATACGTAGGAAGTCAGAATGAGCAAGAAAGGAAAAGCTGCAAACAGTAAGTCCTCACATAACAGAAGTATGTTTCTGCCTGTAACATCACTAGAGGATATTGCATACAGTTCTTTCACATCACAAAAGAAATGGTCAACCTTTTGTGTGAGACAGAAGGATAACAGAGATGCGGCCAACACATTTACTGCTGCATAAGTCACAGATATAAGCCAAGTGGACAGAGCCAATGAAAGGCATACATCTTTACTCATCAGTAAGGAATATTGTAATGGCTTACAGATTGCTACGTATCGGTCATAGGACATGGAGGTCAGTAGAAATATATCAGAAGCAGCTGACAATGAGAAGAAGTACACCTGAGTCATACAGGCAGAGAAAGACATCCAATGGTCATGTGTTAGGAGTATGGAGAGAAGTTTTGGAAGAGTAACTGAAACAATATAACATCACTAACAGCAAGATTACTCAAGAAGAAATACATTGGAGTATGGAGCCGGGGAACCAGACCCACCAGTAGAGCAATGGTCATGTTTCCAGGATAGTCACCAAATACATCAATAGAACTGCAGTGAGAAGGAGACATTGTCCAATTTTAGAGATGGAAAAAGCTGAAATATAGAACACGTTTTTGGTATTGTTCGAGCATTCCTCCATCTTCCTTGCATGGAAAAAAAAAGAAATGATAGTTTATACTTTTTACATTTATTGAACCACTTGCCATCTGACTGTTATACATAAATGACCGGCCTGCTACTTCCTAAGGGCAGGAGATCATTTCAAAATGGCCACCCTTTGTGGTTCTTGTGCATGCCCTCTAGTGCAGTGTTTCTCAACCTTTTTCAGTCAAGGCACCCTTTAAAATTATGGACAGTCCCTTTTAAAATTATGGACAGTCCTGGGGCACCTTTACAATTATGGACAGTCCTGAGGCACCCTTTAAAATTATGGACAGTCCTGAGGCACCCCATTCTAAAATGAGAAAAAAACATTCTAATAGTTTTATATAACGCAGCAACATCCACACATGTAGGACACCCAACATTAGAGGTGATTCATTCTTCCAAAGCAAATATACTTTTGCACACTGGTACTGACTAGTATTCCAGTGTTTCTCTTCTCCCTCAGTTTTTCTCCATCACTGAGCTAGTGTAACCTCAGCGTTGGTGGAGAGGGGCAGGGGGGGGAGGGTCAAACTAGGATGCTGTGCAGGTAGCTGACATCCTCCTTATCAACTGATGTTATTGGTTGTTAGGACGCCAGCAGTTAGAAGGCCTTAATGGAGCACAATGAAAACCTGTGGCTTTGTGTAACTAAAAGGCGGGCTTCTTCCACCCTGGCTTGTGTACAATTTTTGGGGCAATTTTTAGACATTTTGCCAAGGCACCCCTGAAGAAAAACCTCAAGGCACCCCAGGGTGCCTGGGCACCCTGGTTGAGGAAGGCTGCTCTAGTGTGTGCATGAGTACACTCTATAATCACTATATCCAATAGACACAGCAGATCACAAAGCGGAGGTACAGAGCCAATGAGATAGGCCCTGAACAAGTATCACTTTGACCAATTACAGCAATCATAAATGTAAACAAGGTCTGCATTTTGCTCTCTGTTTCCTTTCATACACTGATCAGCTATGAAAGAAAATAGAGTTTTACCGACATTAATTAGCATCAGCATTTTGTACAGCACACTAAGCTGGCCACAGTGTCCCTGATCATTAGTTAAACCTTTCCCATTGTCACCAGATCAGTGCAGCCAACCACATTGTCCCTAAATGCTAGCCACAACAGTCCCAGTATTACCCAGCAATACATTCCCTGAAAGCCACCAGGCCAGTTTCAGTGTCACCAGACCAGTGCAGCCAGCAACATTGGTGCTTATCAGTGCCAGTGTCACCAGACCATTGTAAGCCTGCAACAGCGTTCCTGATTTCCGCCCCACCAGTGCCAGTGTGGGAAAGCAACAGTGTGTTCTGATTACTGCAACACCGGTACCGATCTCACAGTTAGATTCAGATTCTGAGTATAAACCTAAGAAAGGTAGTGGTTCAATTACTACTACCTCTGGTCCGAGAATAAAGGGGATACTATGTTCAAAGCACTGAGCATCCTACTGAATTGCATCAGGCAAGCACCAGGTGTGCAATACATTCCGGGGAGAAAATGAGTGATAGGTAGTCAGGAAATTAGATGCATAACCTTTGCCCCTTGAAAGCCTGAAGGTGCTCTTAGGATTTTGGCCCCTCTATGTAGCTAGGCTGCAAAAAAACTCTCTCACATGTGGTATCCCCATATTCAGGAGGAGTAGCAGAATGTATTTTTGGGTGTGATTCTAAGTATGAACATGCTGTGTGTTAGAAATATTTTGTTAATTGACAACTTTGTGTAAAAGAATACATTTTCATTTTCTTACCTCATCCTCCAAAAACTTGTGATCCCTAAAAGACTCCCCATACCTCTTAGTAAATCACATTAGAGGGTGTGCTTTCTAAAATGTGGTCATTATGTGGGTGTTTCTACTGTTCTGGCTGTTCAGGAAATGAGATGACTTATTTTTTTCACTTCTTTAAAGCCTGAAGGTGCTCCTTTGGGAGAACCTCTATGTATCTAGGTAGCAAATGTCTCACAAATATTGTATCCCCATACAAGGTAGGAGTGGAAGAATGTGTTTTGGGGTGTAATTGTAAATATGTCAATGTTGTATGTGAAAAAAAAAAAAATTGTGTCAAAATATTACAACTTTACAAAACTCACTATGCCTCATACTAAAAACCTTGGGGTGTTGACTTTCCATAAACTGATCATTTTGGGGGTGCTTATACTGTTTCTTTTTGGGTTGAGAAATTTCAAAAATAAATATCATAGTTTGTAGACTCTATAACTTTTACACAGACTAAACTAATTTACTGTAAACTTTTTTTTTTTTTTTTTTTTACCAAGGAATACATTTTGCTGTTTATAAAGATTTATTGCAAAGTTTTATAACAGAAACTAAGGGAAATATTTTTAAATATTCAGTCTGTTTTCCTTTATATTGTAAAAAAAAAAAAAAAAAATTGCTGAATAAATGTGCATTTTCCCCCAAAAAAAGTATATAAAATTAATTTGGGTACAATGTAGCATGACCGAGTACTTGCCAGTCAAAGTATCATAGAACTGTTGGGGGGTTGAGGACAGAAAATTTGAAATAGAACAGCCATCACAGCACACGGCTACTTCTCATTAAATGTAAGTACTGTCCCTTGTGCTGTTGTTTTTTTTTTTTTTTTTAAACTAAAATTTACAACTTTAGCCATTTGCAAGTGAAATTTGGTTGCAAATCATAACATACAGCAGTGCAGGTTTATAAATAAGCAAAACAGTTGTGAGACTTTATCCGGCCTTTAAATTATTGTTATTTAATGAAATATACAAATTAGCTAAATTGATTGAGCAATAAATCTGATCAAAGTGGACAGTGTCACAGGAAAACCTGTCTAAAAATAAATCTGATCTTACCACCCCCCTAAAGACAGTAAAACCAAAATACAGATTAATAATACATATACATACAGCACCAGTTAGAATATGTTCAGGAGTAACTGTGATTATTCATTTAGAAGTCACTTTTAATCCATATGTAAATTGCAGAGTTGTGGAAATCAATATTTAAACTATATAAATATTTAAAAATACAACTTTTTTTTTTTGAGCTTTAGCGTCTAGGAGAAGCTCCATTGTTTTTGTAGAGAGTTTTTTAAAAGCTTTCCTAGAAAAAATAGTGTTCTCCTATGTGTTCTATGCACACTGCTAAAGCTATTAGTGTTTTATAGCTTGAGCTTTAGCGTCTAGAAGCATGGAAAAAAAAATGTGAAAAACTATTAAAACATGGAAAGCAATTAAAACCCTCGGGATTGTATTAAACTTAATAAATACTCACAAAACAATTATTATTATTAATATTTTTTTCAGGATTTATATAGCGCTTTACAACATGAGGGCAGACAGTACAGTTACAATACAATTCAATGTGTGTGAGGAATCAGAGGGCCCTGATCATTAGAGCTTACAATCTAAAAGGGAGGGTCAGGAGAAACAAAGTTTAATAACTGTTTTACAATCTCTTAGATTGTAAGCTCCCAGGATCAGGGCCCTCCTAACCCTCTTGTATTGAACTGTATTGTTGCTGTATTGTCTCCCGTTATATTGTAAAGCGCTGAGCAAACTGTTGGCGCCATATAAATCCTGTATAATAATTAATAATAATAATAACTGGGGGATGAGCGGATGGAGAAAAAGTGCTTTTGTTAGGTGGGGGTTGGGATACTCTTTTCTGAAGAGAAGGGTTTGCAGGGATCGCCTAAAGGTGGACAGAGTAGGAGACAGTCGGAAAGATTGGGTAGGGAGTTCCATAGGATGGGAGAGGCTCTGGAGAAGTCCTGGAAATCCACATTCATTGAATGCTCCACAAATATGTCCTAATGGCAGCAGGCTTCCTACATGTCCATGTCTACAGTTCAATACCCCCTTCCCCTGAAATCATGATCCTGTTACTCACCCACTGGACAGGTGACTGCAGGATAAAATGACTGCTGAAATTCTGCTAATGCAGAGCTCTAGCCTGACAATATTGTACAATGCAACAATATATTGATGGCCTTCCTCTCTGAATTTTAGGTCAAGTGTTCAGGAGATTAAACACAAATTACTTCAGGTACCTATACTAGAAATGAGGGTTATAGCTAGAAACCTTTTCCTCCCTAACCTTTTAGTTTGGTATGGACAGCAAATGTTACCTGACATCATGTAACATATTCATCAGATCACAAATATCTGCCTATGTGGTGATGAGATATATAAAGAGCGTCTGTGTCTTCACAGATATTATATTAACATATTAAAAAAAAGTCACAATTTTAACAATATATTTTTTACGTATATAATTGTAAATGCATTCCAAAAATGTAGATTTCTGAATATTTTTAAAAGACAATACAGTATTACCTTAGAATTACTAATATTAAAATATATTTTTCATATATTTTGTAATGAAAAATGCATTTAAACATACTGTAATAGTATATATATATTATTATATATATATATATATATATATATTTTTTGTTTTTTTTTTATTGAATATTTATTTGAAATACTACCTTGAATACGGCCAAACATTGTAGCAGTATTCATATATATGTCATTATTTTAAAACAGGGAAGACATGTATACTGTTTAAATATATTTCAAATGATATTTTTCTTCACATATGGGATAGAGATGCACTCAGGGGCACCATGAATGGATCTTATGGTCTTAGATACTTGAGGAAATATACAGGAAAGAGGAGTGCCTTGATGTCTTCACAAAAGGCATTTATTGAGAAGAACGACATAAACTCTCTTGACC